CTAAAGAATGACACCAGCTAAGTGCATATTTGAGGTTTTGTGTTCATGTTGTTGTTGTTTTTGTTTTGTATTTTCTCTGCATCTGCACCAGGCCTCGAGTATTGCTTCTTGAAAAATGAAACGCAAAACAACACAAAGAACCTCCAACCTCTGAACAGTGGGTGGATATTGTGAATGAGACTTGTATGATGGATCACGTCACTTTTTATATGATGGATAATTGTGTTTTATCTCTTTTAACCCTCTTGCCCTCGTCTCTGTTGGCACCAGGTGAATAGTACTAAAAAATGTCACTGTGAACCGAAAAGAGAAGATGGAAAAAGTTAAAACATCATATTTATATTTTACACGTTAACCTGTTTCTGCAATCAATAAAAAAGTTCAAAAATAAAACAGCATAAGTAAGGTTGACAAATGAAAGGAAGCTATTTTGAGCTATTCTGCCCATTTAGCCCAGTTTGTTTTTAGTAGGTAATGGACCGTGGGGTCTCATCCAGCCATTTCTTGAAAGACGCCAGATTAGCAGCTTCAACAACATGGTGGGTTAAAGTTCCAGACTCCCACAAACTCGGTCCTAGGTCTTCTCCCATATTTCCACAACCATTTCTGTAAATCTGATCCTCTTATTCTCAGGATTTAGCTCCCTTTCCTTCAGGTCTTGTCCGTGCCCTCTGGTTCCTGCTGCACTGTTGATTCCATAGGCGTTTGTATGGTGGACTTTGTCCGAACGATGTCTCCCAGTTCTGGTCCTCGTTTGTCCTTCCACCTTCTGGCCCTTTTCTGTAGCTCGGGTCATCCAGCTCTTATTCCTCGAACCATTTCAGTTCTTCCCGAGCCGAGGGAACGAGGTTAGAAATGAGGTGGAATCCTGCGCTTGGATGTGGGGTCTCGGCTCGAATGCGCTCGAGTCAATAGTGGGGGTTCACTGCCGTGTCGCAGGAGACCTGATTTGTCACTTACGTCCTTATTTCAAGTGTAGAGCTGGATACACTTCTTAATTTGGCAACCGTTCCTACTACGACACAGACCGAGTGCCCGCTGAAAGCGATGTGATTGTTTTCCCTCTTGAACTGTAAAGCTTCATGCGGCGTTTTGGCCTCTTCTCGCTGAGCACAGCTGCACCGCTTTCTCGCTGAAGAAACAGCATCTTTTGAAGGCCCTGCCTTGTCTTATTTACTCTGAGGCCTGCGAGCAAGATTAATCTAAGTGTTTCTGATCATGCTACATGCATATATTAAACAAGATTAAACGCCATACTTTTCCTGATCAAGTGATTTTCATAGCATTTTTTTACATGAATTAGTCATACCAATGTAACGCAATCCCAGTTTTTGCATTATTCACATTTTAACTGTGGCTGGTCGTTGTAGTGAATGTTAAGGGACTTATTTATTCAGCTCTTAGAATAAACCAGGCAGTGGAGGTCTGAGGGGGAAGTGCTGAGAGGGATGGAATGTGACCCAAAAGCAGGAATATTAAAGCTTGTGAATGTATAGGATTTTTTTTTTTTGCTCAGTTATTCTCATGGACATTGAAAATAATTGCCTTGTCATACGCACCAAAAAAACACTCAATCATTTTAATAGAACTAAGAAAAGTATTAGATCAGAATGAAAAAATGGATGGTCTAATTCCTAGTGGATCCCAGAGTAACGTCTTGCCTAAACTGTTGAAAACAACATAAAACACTTGTTTTCCCCCAATTTTTTTATCCAAACCTTTCTGTAAACTGCAGCTCTTCCTTACCTCAAGGCTGTGGTTGCTGAATCCTGTGTCTCCGTAAGATTTTCCTGCACAGGCGATCAATGTGTGAGGCAGATGCTTTCATCTCAATATGAAGAGTCAAACAAGAAGACAGGAGGTAGTTTAATCTGTTTTTCTCTTCTGCAGTACAGTGGACTCAGCATAAAACACTCCTGCATTCGGTGAAAACACACTGTCAGTAAAAAAGGGAGAGGTATTCTCTTTTAAGATCTTCATTTTTTTTGTTGTTGTTGTCTCTCAATTCTTAAAAGTCTTGATGAAATCCATGCCCAGCAAGTTGTACAGCAGAGTGGGTAGGGCTCTGGGCTCAGAACTGGAAATGTTATGGGTTCATATGCCAAGCAGGGCCCTGCTGTGAAACCACTGAGCACAATGCTTTGCTCATATTGCTCATACGCAATACAATCCGCCACTATGTATATATTAATGAGTACATAGTAAATTGCTTTGGATTAAAGTGGCAGCCAAATTAATCATAATAATCCAGAGAGGAAGAGGACCCTATTCTGCAGCGGGGGCCTTGTTTCTTGTGAATGAGATGTGTGTGGATCCATTCTGTGGGATGAATTATCCACGTCTTACTTCAGTGACTCGCGGTCTGCGGATAACGGCACATCACAGCTCAGCTCTCATTCATGGTAACAGGTCTGGCGACCAGGACCATTCTGAAAGGGCAACGGCAGTGTCGAAGCGTGGCAGATTGTATTACCTTGCTGCCGGTCTTCAAACGCTTTAGGGGGATGATTCTCGGTTTATGTACAGTAATAAAAAAAAAGAAGCTGAAAAAAAAATCAACAAGCAGGGGATCAAAGCCCAGGAGAGCTGTGCCAGAAGGCGCCTTTTCTAACCATGTTAGGTTGGTTTTTAGGACCAGTAAATCTTCAGTCCCCTGAGCCTGATGTAATGTACATTTTCACAACCTGTGACATAACTGCCAGTGACACATCATCCATCACAGAGTAGATTTCCCCTTCAGCACATTACATGTCATGTTTTTTTAGTTGTTTGCTGAAAGCCGTTTACCAATTGGTTGGCTTTTGGCCCTTTTTATTTTCATACAGTTCCCTTCACCCTCCAGTGCAGTCCTGTTTAACTATTCATTTATTCATTGTCTTCCAGGGCATCGGTGGCACTTTTCAGTTCATACCGTTTGTTATACACTTTTGAAGTCTCCTGCTTTCCCTTGTTTATTCAAAGATTGAAGGTAACAGCAGGAAGCAGATCTCCCCACAAATGGAGTCCAGCTTAGCCTGGAGTCTCTTGCTCCTGTTTGACATCTGCCAGGCTCACGTGTAGCTGTCAGACTTTCAAAAAACAGCCGAAGCTCTGGTAAAAACAGGGATTTCGTCCCAGTGTTTCCATAGCAACAAAAATATAATCCCTTCCTGAAGTATGCTGTAATACCTGAACAGTTACTTCATGTGTATGTACACACCTTCATATAGAGTGTGTTTTAAATCATCGTAATGATATCTGTATGTGAAAATAAATATATGAAAATGAATGAAATGAATATATATGCACGTATGCACACCCACACCTGTATATACGCTATATGTACTTGTAAATCACATACGGAAAAAGAGCTTTGCACTGTCTGACCATTTCTTCTCCACTACTTGACCTGAATACTATTTTAATGCAAGTGAATGATCGATAATGACCAGTGAGACTGAACAAACAGTGTCCCTACAGAAAACATTTCCATGGTTCTCTGAAACAAGAGTGAATGATGCGTTATGTCCTTTCCGCCTTCGGAGTGAAGGGATGAGTTTTGTGTGAGGGGTGTACAAGTACAAAAAATCTTTTTTCATCATTCTAAGACATCCAGGTTTGTTCTGTATTGACTGGATCAATGCCAGTTATAGCTTTAAAGGAGGCAAAGAGCACAGGAGCTCTTTATGCCGATAATCTGAACCTGTCACTCCACAGAGCCCAGGTTAGAATTCTGAATTGAAAAGGCAACTACAGGTACCTCAAGTATGTGAAGCACAAAAGAAAAAATTACCTCCATCTGCAGCTGTTTCCTCAGAAGAGAACAGCAACAAAAGAGTTGCCTTTAAAGATATCCCACAGGGGGGCTTTCTTGTATATAATTTCACATTCTGTGAGAAATAAATACACAGTAACATTCCTTTTGCTCTGTGCCTTGAATGTTTCCAGTCCTGCACACAGTCGTGTGGGTATTCAGTGGTGCTAGAAAGTTTGTGAACCCTTTAGAACTTTCTGAATTTCTGCATAAATTTGACCTGAATTGTGATCAGATCTTAATCCAAGTCATAAAAATAAAGAGAAGCCAATAAACCAAATAACGCACAAAAGGATATACTCTTTCATTTATTTATTGATCAAAACGATCCAACATTAAATGTCATCTGTTGTGATCTTAGTGGCCAATCAAGGCTGGAGATGTCAGGTGAATGCTAGGTGTTGTGGTACAAGTCTGTGTTCGGGCTGTTCAGCAACTTTTTTTCCTCTAGGTCAGTGGTTCCCAATCCCCGGTCTTTGTGACCCACACACCTGCTGGTTTTCTCCCCACCCCACCTTCGTTAGGCAGCTGAAGCCTTACCCGATCTAAGAAGTTGCTTCCCTTGAATATGTGTATTCTGCCTCTAGTTACAGGTTTGGGGTTTTATTTCACTCGCAAAACACGATAGTTAAAATCCAGCCTGTTTAAGAGCTGGGAAACAAACGGCTCTAATGAACCTTCTTATAATGAACTCAAGGAAGGGTTTGATGGTGTAACCAGCAGCTGTGTGGGCCACCAGGACCACGATTGGGAACCACTGTATCAGGAGCCATCTGAGCCACGTTGTGAGCCCAGGGGTCTTCCACTGGCCTTTAACTAGAGCTGTCACAGCTAAATATGACAAAAAAAGGTAAATAAAATATCACTTCACATGAAATATTCCTGCCTTGTAGATTGGCTTCTGAGTTGAATATGACTGAATATTGGTCATGAGCTGTGCACTTTAAAAGCATTTTCTGGCTGCAGGAGAATCAATTGGACAGTTTTCTTTGTAGTGTTTTCAGAGTTTTCTAAATAAAAGCTGTCGAAAAAGCTGGCACTCGTTTGAAGCAGCAAAAGTGTGCCGTAATCCTGATTGTGAATAAAATCCGCCCTGACCACAGTATTGCTGTACTGTTTCAGTACTGTACTGTATTGATTCCTGTGAGTGTTTTGTCTTCGTGATGCTGTGCATTCAGTAACGGGTGTTTTCCTTTCTGGATTCTAGGCAGAGCAACTATTCCGGAATGAATCAAATGGGCATGATGGGCTCCAGCTCCCCTTACAGCCAGACAATGGGGAATAGTTCTGGAATGATGACATCACAGGGCCCGCCGTACAACACACCCCCTTCAGGTAACTCGCAGTAACCCCCTACTTCAGAAACGAGCGCAGGTTGCATGGTGACACAGCTGGCATCACGAAACGAGACGGCACAAGGTTATACACGTTTCTCAGTTCCTCTCTGATCAGGCTGTTCATGGGGAGGAAGTTCAGTTTGACCAGCTGCAGAGAACGGAGGAGAACGGTTTGACCAACTGCAAAAGTATACGCATCTAGAAACGGGTTCCGTACTAAAGCCGTCTGAGCTTCGCCTTTCAGTGGGGGTGTTCTGTAGTTCTGGGTTTTGTTTGAATTTGAAGAGCATTAACTGGAAGCGAGCTGTTGATTCATGGGCTTCATCTGCCCTTTGGGAGAAGTCCTCGTTTTGAAATGTAAAGGCTTCCTTGCGTTATTGCTCAAAGGACTCGATCAATCCAGTGAGGGAATCTGGCATTTCCAAAGCATGGGTAGGCAGTGCTGGCTGTTCCCTGAGTACAACTGTTGCAGAGACGTCAAGTTTATTTAAGGTGTTCGCAAGCCCTTTGACTCATATGTTTTAAAAAGGATCAGTTTGTTTGGTAGATCTGTAGAAGTGTAATAAGTATTCACATGACAAGGTAAGTATAAACCTTAGTTTGGCTTTGGGTGGTCCTGTCCAAGCCTTCAAGTGAGGAATCTCACTTGAATTTTTGAGCTGAGCCTTGCAATGTTCACAGTGCTGCAAAGGTTTCTTTTTTCGCCCTTTGTAACTTAAACGTTTCTGAACGTGTCCTCCAGACTTGGATCATTCTTCCGCAGTGCATGGCGGTGTACCCCAACGTGTTCAACTCCTGCCAGTGGCAGCACATTTAGGTCTCAGCTGCTCAGATTCTAAACCAACACTACAGTGCAAGAGCATGCATATCAATGTGTTTTGGACTCCTTGCACTGGCTACCTGTGGGTTTCAGAATAGGGCTCAAAATCCAAAGGCTGCACTTTATGAGCTTTCTAAGGAAACATCAGATTCCTTAGAAAGAAATAATGTAAGACATTCTATAATGTAGATACAGCAGCACAGTTTGAGCTGCAGAAGAAAAGACGGTCTCTTTTAAGTTTAAGAATGCCAAGAGTTGTCTCTTTACAAGTCTGCTGAACGTTGCAGGACATTTTTATGCCTACATCAATAAAACCTGAAGAATGCAGCAGAGTATTGAGAGGAAAAGAAGCCCAACTGGGCTGCAAGATTCAGAGCCTGAGAACGAATTTCATTTTCCAGGCATAAATCCACCAGGTGGAAAACTGAGCTAGAAATATCAGAACAGACTAGCAGCAGGATAAAGTGAGCATAATGTTTAGATCCTTTCAAGTCAATGGGAGCAATGCTGCTATGTTGTCTTTTAACCTGCGCCAGAGGTAGCAATGAAGGAACAAGCAGCAGACAGTGTTGGAGTGCTGTGTTGGAGCCGAGGAAATCAGAACCCCTGTCAGAATACTCAGTGCGGGGCCATTATATAGACTGTGAATCATATTAATTCATGAATGTGCCATCATCAAAATTCAAAGGTAGGTCTTGTAAAAAGTCAAATCTCCTTTTTGCCTCTAAAAAACACACCAGAATCCGTTGTGTGAGAGACCATTGGTGTGGCTCAGTCGATGTGGAAAGGGCCCCCTACATTCTCAGAAACAAACCAAACTATCAGAAACCCTTCCTGTATTATCTGGCGCATGTTTCGGTGTGATTAGAGAGAACCTTTGCAATGTTAAGTTCAGTGTCATTATGTAGCAACAACATTGGTCAGCAATGTAAGCTTTCTAGTGGATGTTTACCCTTTTTTCAGAAGAGTAATCAAGGCTGATTTTTTATGATTTTTTATATATATTTTTTATATATATTTAAAAGGCCCATCCTCGGTTGTGTGAGAGACCATGATTCTCAAATTGCGTTTAAAAGCATTCAGGGTAACACAAGTGTTTGGAGTGAGAATTGGTTATTAAAAGAGAACAAGGTACAGTTAAGAGGTAAATGCTCATTATTAGGGTAATGTCACTAAAGGAGTACCACAGGGATCTGTACTAGGCTCATTATTAGGGTAATGTCACTAAAGGAGTACCACAGGGATCTGTACTAGGACCACTGCTCTTCCAAATTTGTATCACTGATCTAGATTATGGCATAGGTAGTAAACTAGTCAAGTTTGCCTATGCCTTCAAAAGAGGAAAAGAGTAAATCAAAAGCTGGGTAAACCCCTGGGAAAAATGCTTTTGAGGTGTCATAAAATATACAAACATATAATTTCAGCATTAAAAGTGATAATTGCATCATTCGTTTGCAAAAGGAAATAAAAAAGTAAGCGGGGAATATCAAACACTAGAACTGTCTACAGGGTCTATTGACAGAGAATTACTGGAGAAGTCAATTACTGGAGAATCAAAAAAATGAGATTGTTCGTTGTCAGATGATTTTCAGCCTTTCTTGGTTGAAGGAAAAAACTGCACTATCCATTCTGACATACATGTTTCCATGCAGAAGCAGAGGACTTTTAGGGTTTGGTTATGTTTGGTTGTCTGTCTCGATGAGGTGGGGAGTCCAGATTTCTGTATGCTTAGAGAAAGTTTTCCCTTTCTGTGTGTTGGAGGAGTTTAAAAATGAACATGCAGGGTTAGTTTTTCCAGGGTTTGGAACCATAGCAATTCCCTTGGGCTTTTTTTTATTTCAATACATTTTTTATGTCAACCAAGAAGAAACCAGAGGAGGCAGCTATTTCGGCAGAGATTCCTGGACAAAATTCAGGGCATCGTCCCTTTTGATGCCTTCAGAAATCCAAAGATTGGATCTTTGATTTCTGTCTTCTGGTTCTGCCATTTAGCCTTTAAGGCTCTGTTCCTGTCTCTCCTATGTGAATCCCAACTCCGCCTTTCTACAGCTTGAATGGTATCAATCCTTTTGCTTGCTTCTATATCGGTACAGATAACAGACATGATCTTATCCTCCAGCTGTTGAAGATAAGACTATGTTTATTGAGGAGGCACAAGCATTTTTAACCTCAGCATTGAAATCTTGTCTTAAACATTGTTTAGCACGGCAGAAAATACAGTCTTTCAGCAAGGAGAGCCAAAACAGGTCCCCTGATGTTTCACTGTAGGAAAATGGAGAGGTATCAGATCCGTCTGAAGCCTCCAGAGTATCCCAAGGCATTGTGTGGTGTACCTCGTGGAGAGAGGATCTCCTTTAGCTTTCTTTGCTTGTTGTGGTTTCTTGGCAGTGGGCTGGAAGAAAGACAGGGCTCTCTGGTTCCATGGCAGTAGCATCATACCTGGAAGAGGTGTCAGTGGGGCCAGCGCTCACCCTGTCGTCTGTGCAGGTCCTAATGCCAGAGTATAGTTACGGGGACACTATACTGTAAAAAGGTGTCGTCCTTTGTATGAAATCCCAGGTTCTGACTCTCTGTGGTCATTAAAAATCCCAGGGGATTTCTCGAAAAGAGTAGGGGTGTTACCCCGGTGTCCTGGCCAAAATTTCCCATTGTCGTTTACCAATCATGTCCTCCCCAATCCCCATCTCTGACCTGTCTTCATCACTCTGCTCTCCTCCCCACTGAGAGCTGGTGTGTGGGGAGTGTACTGTTGCACTATGGCTGCTGTCGCATCATCCAGGTGGGGCTGCACACTGGTGGTGGTGGTGGAGGGGATCCCCATCACCTGTAAAGCGCTTTGAGTGGAGTGGCCAGAAACGCGCTGTATGAGTGTAAAGAATTTATTATTAACAGTAAAATGGACATTTGAAATGGAACTTCTACCAGGTGGAATAATTACTAAACAAAAGAGCGTGTGCATTGTGGTGCAATGTAGGTGTAGTTGACAGAAAAATGGAAACACCAAAGTAATGTAATTTAATAAGTCCTGTATGCACCGTAGCATACAGTACCATTGTCTGGAATTCTGCTGGAGGGATTCTTTCATTCTTCCATCAGTAAATTTAGTCGGCTCACTCCTGGTATTGATGAGGTGGTAAATGCTGTCTTGGGCATTGTTCCAGAATATCCCACATCATCAGATCCCACATCATCATATCTGGTGACTGAGAAGTAGAGTAGGGGAGTTTATTGCCATAAGTTCATGCACGTTGGAATTCTTATTTGTGCTGATCTCTCGGGACTTACACAGTACAACAGACAACACCACACAATGTAGACAGTACATTACAAACATAATCATTAATAACAACAGGGACAATAAATATGTAGTAGTGATAAAAAGACATGGTAGACCATGCAAGAAGTGCGTAGTGCAGATGTTTATTGAATACTGAGGTATCGCAGTTAGCCGTTGAGGATGCGTGCTGCAGTAGGGTAGAAGTCTTGAGAGTAGGGTACTGTATTGATAAGATCTGTGTCTGGCTCATCCAGCCACTGGGCGACTGCATGTGCTCTGTGAATGAAGAGCATTGTCATCCAGGAAGACTCCCCTCCCCACATCATGGGGTGAAGATGATCACTCAGTACCATAACTCTGCGATTAGCATTTGCCGTCTGAGGGAATGGGTGCACTCACACTAGGCCCAGAGATCGCACCCCGCAACATTGCAGAACCACTAGAGCCCTTGACTGCAGAGGAGATCCAGAGTGGATCCAGACACTCGGGGCCGTAGAGTTCTTAAGGTTGGCGCCACATGTGGACTCGCCCCTTTTCTCAAGAACGTGGTGAAGGGTGAGTCATCCGACCAGATCTCATGTCTCCACTGCTCGGTGTTCAGTTGCCTGGGCTCTCCTCACCCTTGGTTTACTCAGTGTGCACTCCCAAGTGCAGTGAGTGGTTTGTTCCCCGCTGTCCAACTCTGGTGTCCCTCACTGTGGAGCTCCTGGTGGACCATCTTGGAATTAAACTGCCTGCTCACGCCAGAGCATGAAATTTACACTCGGTTGATCTGTTGTTGCTTGCCTGACCCTTCAGGCAATAATTCAGAATTCACTCACGAGCCACGCCTGTGTGGGAGCCCTTGCTTTCAGTATGCTTGGTGTCCCCGGTTTGCCCAGGTGTTTCCAGTTTTGTGTCCAGCATCTGTACCTCGGCAGTGTGCTCTTGAGTTTAATTCCTCCCCCCTCCTCTGCCTTCCGCTCTTCAGGAGAAATCTCTGCCTTCATAAATGTGCTTTTATAAGTGGAAAATGTTTTCATGCTGCTTCGCTAAGTTAGAGCAGGTTGCATGACATTTGAAAACATCAAATGAATTAGGCTGTCAGTTTTTTTTTTAAATTCGAACTTGCTGCTTCTGGGGCTGTTAAAAAGCAATTAGTTTGACAGAGCGCTCCATTTGTACTGAAAATGGAAATTAAAAGAGACCAACCTTGGGACTGTGGCAGACACTCAAAGTTTTTTACATGTGATTAAAAGCATTTTAGAACCAGTTCCCTTAAGGTGATATTTCTCTGTGTACTTTTTCATACATTTTAGCTTATGCCTTAAATGTTTTTATGTTGCTCAAAAAAGACCTTTGATTTCTTCGAAACATTATTTTTTTTTCCACCCCAAAAAAAAACCCCTCAGTCTCACGCTATTCATAGAGGTTTATAGAGTAAAATGGATTTCACATCCAGGACCAACAAAGGGATTTGGTATTTTATGTATGGGGGATGAAAATGGCAGAACCTCGGAACGGCGAGAATCCTCCAGGAGAAGCCGTCCGTGCGACATCACGCCCGAGCGGAATTCGGGATTCTGACAGCGATGAGTCTGTCCTACCCTCGAGGGTGGGGACGGCGTCCCTTCACCAGAAACCGAGGGCAGGCACAGAAACGACCCGTGTGAGAGATTCAGGGTGGAAAGCAGACATGCCCGTGAAGCAGACAAGCGGGTCAGTCAAGAGACATACAGGTGCCTGGGAATCAAGGCCTAAGGAATACTTAGAAGTGAGAACAAAGAGTCGCGATATTATTGCCGGCATAGGGGATTGCAGTGTGGGTCGGACCTCCTGACAGGACTCCGGCTGACCATAGGGCTCATTTCGAAAGCGCGGCTTGGCTCGTCCTTGGAAGGGGGGATGGGACGGGAGAGCTCTGAGCAAACCCACGTGAGCCCCGAGAAAACATGCAGACTCCACCCAGAGGGGCCCCCCCACCGGCTGCAATCACAGCCAGAACCTGAGTGCCGTGCAGCAGCAGTGCTCACCACCTGCCACCACTTTAACCATTATCTTTCTCTTTTTAAGGCATTTTGTCTTAATTGTGGTCCTCTGGGCCCCAGTCGTGACTGCCCTGTCATGATCGGATGTTATCACTTGTCTCAGATGTACTTTCTTCTGTAAGATCCTGATTTTCTTTCTGATGTGCAAATTTCACACACCTCTCTTTTGTCCCTGATTGTTAGCTGTAGGGTCTTACATGAAGAGCATTACTGTGCACATGACCCTGAATTCGCCCACAGTCACTTTGCACTGTTTAGCAGATCTGAAGCTACTTTCTGTGATCAGAATCACTTCCTACTGACTGAAGTCAATGTCTGTAATTTCATTGCACCAGAGGTTTTTAAATCATCCATGCTGCGTAGAGCCTCGTGTTCCAGTTATACTGCTCAGAACTGAAATGACTGTCTTCTATCAAAACACACTGCCATTGCAGCGGTGATAATTCAGAATTAAGACATCGACCAGCTCCTGAGTAAATGTTACATCCCTTGAGTCAAACTCCACTTGGGCTGCCTGTTTTAACCCCTTTTCCATTTTTAATTTATCCATCCATTTTCAGACAGCCGCTCGTCCTGGGATGGGCTGGGACAGCATCATAGTCCACCCCAAGGCTCAAGGCAGGACTAAGGGCATGAATGCACTAGTCATCCATTAGGATGGAGAAGGGGACAGTTTAGGATACCCAGTCACACCCAGCAGGTATATCATGGGTGGAAACAAGACCGCTTAGAGATAAACATTGCGAAGGTAGGGGAACATGCGATCTCCACGCAGAATGTCTCTCAAGCTCAAATTAAAGCCAGGACCCCAAGACCTGTGAGGAAGAAGTACAGTATTTATCAGCACCCGATATTCCAGTATACCTCAATATTTCTTATCCAGCTGCTGGACACCCGGCTCTTCAGAACAGGTTTTGTTAAGTTCTACTGAAATCGGGGTAACGTGGTGGTGCAGGGGTTAGCTGTGCTGTTTTGCGGCGCTGGGGCCCTGGGTTCTGGACTCAGGGCTCCAGATCTGTGAGTTAACAGCGCTCTCTGCCATGTTGATAATATTCATTCTTGATGTTAAAAATATGAATACCATCATTAATATGTCAGTATTTTAACTCACATCGTTTTGTGGTCCTTTTGACACTTAATAATATAGAGCATGATTCATTATGTAATTATATCGTAATATAGAATTGGTTTCGAAACATAAAACATTGGATCAGCCAAGTAAGCCACAAGCCCCATAGGGCGCGTGCAGAACCTCCATTTGCATTCCTCTGTGCTAAGCTCCAGGATGCGGTGTTATTTACCGTACACTTCGGTGTGTGTGCAGTTTTTAGGCGCATTTTGAAAACAATGGAAGCTGTGCTGTGCTGGGATTTTGTATTTGGGGGTTTTTGGTTTCAGTTTTGCTACCGCCTTGCAGAACAGGTGCCGAATGGCAAGCAGGCATTGCTTTAAAGTTATAAATAGCCCCGAAACTGGCAGCCGGCACGCGGCCCTCGCAGTGATTCACGAGGCGCCCTGGGTTCTTGGCATCCCGCGCTGCAGTAACCCAGGACGATGCCGAAGATATTAGCAAATTAGCTCTGCGCGGCCTGCCAGCTAATTCGCAGGAGTCCCGCGCACGCTCGCTGCTGTAATTAAAACTAATCATTTTGTAAAACATGTTAATACACGGGTAGGGGAAATCAGCTTTTTATTGTGGACATTCTGCGGAGTTGGAGGATCATTTGACTGCAGGCGCATGAGACCCCTGGGAGACCAACAGCTTTGCCATTAATGGCAGAGCGCTCTCCCTGAAATTGGCTGGAGCGCCGGCTGTGCCCGTCCGCGGGAAAATGAGCCTTTCAGAGGTCCCCTTCAGGAGTCGGTGTAGCCTGACAGATATCCTTGTCCCCTCCGTGATAGCGCTTCTCTCCCACTCCGGCTGCTGCAGGAAGGATTTCAGTAGTCTTTACCACTCAGGGGCTGCTTGCGCTGCTTTTTTTTGAATTGAAGGTTTCAGGGGGGGCACAGTGGCGCAGTGGTTGGCGCTGCTGCCTCGCAGCTCTGGGGCCCTGGGTTGAATTCTGGACCTCGGGTCCTGTCTGTGTGGAGTTTGCATGTTCTCCCCAGGCTCACATGGGTTTTCCTCCCACAGTCCAAAGACATGCTGGTATGTTAATCGACGTCTGGGGAGAGCCGGCCCTGGTGCAAGTGCGAGTCTGTTTGTGTCTGTACAGTGTGGGCCCTGTGATGGACTGGCGTCCTGTCCAGGGCGTGCCCTGCCTTGTGCCTGTTGCATGATGGGGCAGGCTCTGGCTCCCCCGTGACCCTGTATCGGATAAGGTGGTTAGGCTTAGAAAGTGGCTGGATAGAAGGGTTTCAGAGGAGGCTGAATTGCGGTGTAAGAAACGAAAGAAAATTTGTGTTGCGCAGGAATTTCATTCAGGAAGTGTTGGACAAAAAGTCAAGGAAATTAAAGAGCAATACAGACTTGTTGATTGCCCGATAAATGTGTGTGTCCTTGTCACTTGTCTCATTGTCGCTATACAGTAACTGCGTCTTTGCCACGATGGAGAAGATAGGGCTGTTTTTAACGAGGTTCTGCTAGAATAAAGGAAGTTGTACTGTTGGAAAAATGACAAACGTTTCTCTGTCACAAACCCCAAAGTCCCACTCATGAGATTTTTCAACAAGTGGAACAAGTGGCCCTGGTGTGACGAGACTTCTGTGTGTGGTGTCGTCTCGCTGTTCTAAGGGAACTCCTCAACCCTGTCTTCTCCTCTTCTCCCTGTCTGTTTTTCGCAGGGCCCATGAGTGTGGCTGGGGACATGATGATGGCTGGCGACACAAAGCTGAAAGGAGATACGAAAGAGGAGAGCATTCCTGCCCCAGAGCCCAAGGCCAAGGTATCTGCCCCCAAGCATGCAGTCCTGTTTGACCCTGTAGGCAGTGCCTTTCCCCTACTTGTTCTGTCTCTGCTCTCCTATGTCTTGTCCTTTTCTTTTAAGCATCCTAACCTCAGAAATGGAAGCCTGCACATTTGCTCATGCAAGGTCTTCTGGCGAGGCTGACACACAAAGATCAGGTGGCAGGTGCTCATTCTACTGTTATTCTAGAGGAAGTTCTTTTTCTCGACTGTAGCATCAGATTTTCTTACGTGCTTAAGAGAGCAATGCCAAACCTGTTGCAAAAACTCTGATGATAACGCCACATGCTCAGGATCCCGTTTATTAAGATTCCTCTCAGTGCAGTTAAGAAATCCATGTGACTATCAAAGGACAGCGATAGCAGGAGTTTGTCAGGAGGAGCAGGATGGTCTTGGATGATTTCTCTGGCCAGCTGTTCAGGTATATCTGCCATCGTGGTGACCAGGAATAGCAACAAAAATAGAGCAGGTCTGTCAGTCTTTCATTAACTGGTGACAGGATAAGGCACTCGACATTAAAATAACCTTATCTGCAGCATAACAAAGTACTGTGAGGAGTGGAGTTTTACATTTCTGGTATAGCTTCTTTCTGGTAAGGATCAAAGCAACATGAAACCTATCCCAGCAGACATAGGGCAAAAAGCAGTACTACGCCAGATACCAGTCTGTCATAGGTCAAAATAGCAAAATACCACATTTAAAATCTTTGTTTTATGTATAATGGTACTACTGTGTGACATTTTAGTTTGATTTGATTTGGTTGCACCAACGCAGCATTTTGTCTTCAGTGTAGTGTCCTAAGTGATAAAAGTATCATCTCAATCCGGATCTGTCAGACTGGCTGAAAAGTCAGTGAACAGTCTGAAGGAGCCTGTGCTTTAGGGCTCTCATTTAATCTGGTGTTTTTGTGACTCTCAGTCTCCGTTTTTATGCAGCGACATATCTGTTGTTAGTCATGTTCACCTGCACACCATTTTAAACCCTCTCACGTGTTCATGGAGTCTGCCCCGTACAGTGGGGATGTTGTTGCTGTTGTTTAGTTGTGAGAAAGAATGTTACACACTCCTGTTGTCAGTGCCTACTGGTGGATGTCATTTTTAATTTATTTTTTTTGCTTGCATGCCCATCTTCCATATTCCTCTTTCACCCCCCGTCTTCCATTTCAGAACGTGGATCTGAAAGTTACTAGTTCTGGCAGCATCCGTTCTTGCTCTTTCACTCTTTAACCCCAGCGAGGCGAGTGGGGGCGTGGGCTCGGTGGCAGCGAACTCAGGCTGGCGCCTGCACGAACGGGCACTGGGCATTGCCTTTCCGCTTCAGTTCCATGTTGTGTTTTGCCTGCCGCAGTGTGCTTCCTGTTGCCCTGGCTACCGTAGCAGCAAGGCCTGCTGTTTTGCTTGCTGACATCAGTCTCATCCCAAGGTCAAGAGCTTGTGTCCTGCAGGGGTGTAGTTCCTGCTTGGCATCCCATGTTAGTTTCAAACTCAGCATGGTAGCTTATTGACCTCCGCATCTGCGCAGCACTCCCAGTTTTTTTTGTTTGTTTTTGTTCATTTTTTCCACTTTCCTTACGAATAACAGCAGTTCGTGTAATTTAGAGATGCAAGACAGTCAAACCTGCTTGAAAGACCAGCGGAGCCAGAAGTCCGGGGCTTCTCCCTGGAGAAACGGGCCGAATAGCCTCCTGCTCTTCCGAATCAGCAGGAGCAAATTAATTGCGCCACCTGCCTCGGCGTCTCGCCGCGTGACTCGGCGCGCTCCGTACGCGAGAGTCATCTGCGCGCCAAGCAGAGGGTTCGATACTTTTTTCAAAAAAAAAATCAGGCTCTAGCGAAAACTGAGAGTCCGCCCCGCCACGCGGAGGTCTTTGGAGGGCAGGTTTTGCTGTCGACGTGGAGATTTTATTCGTGAATATTTTTATTTATTTTTTAACCGCCGCTAACGATGATCAACCTGTGTCCCTCGCTGGTCCTGTTCTTTTATATTCTCCATCACAGGATAGCTACAGCTCTCAGTGTATTTCCCAGCCTCCCACTCCCGGGACCCTGCCAGTCCCTTCCCCCCTGTCCCCCAGCCCTGCTAGTCTCTCCTCTTATCAGGGAGATGACAGTGATAGCATTAGCAGCCCCGCCTGGCCAAAGACTCCATCAAGCCCTGTAAGTGGCTCACCTTCTTTACTTCTTGATATTTTTGTAGCTTGCTTGTCTGTGACTTGTTTTTTTTTTCTTTTTTTAAATTATTATTATTTTTATTTATTCTTATTATAACTCAGGTGTTCTGTCCAGTGTGCCAAAGACTTTCTCATTAAGACAGCCGCAGGCAGGGGAAAAAACAAATGGCCGCACAGATTCAGTCCCGTTGAGTGTCAAGCCCGGTGAGAATCAAGGAAGGCAAACGCAGAAAGGATGATATGCGAGCGCAATTAAGAGCGCTTCCCCCCATTTAGCGGGAGTGCGGTGCCTTTGCCCTCAGTATGCTGGGGCTACAGCTCAGGTGGTCTCGCCGGTCCTGCAGTCAATTTGTGGTCACCCGTGAATCAAGGTTTTGCGTCGATTGGCCTAATGGAGGTCAGCAGGCGCGGTGCAGATGTCGATACGCTAATTGTATTATACAGACCAGTTGGTGGTTGGTGGAGGGGGGTCCCAGAGTGGTGGTCTGGGAGTCTTGTCACAACAGATCTCCACTGGTTGTGATGAACCTGATGGCGCAGTGTCCTTTCTCTGGGACCTCACTGGCACCTGCTTCAGAAAGGCCTGGGTCACTCTCTGTGGGTGAATTTGAGGGTGAAGTTGTTGCCATTGTGAGTGGTGAATTTCTTTTGATGTTCCGTATGCTTGGTCGTGTTGCAGAGTAAATGGGGACATGTATACCAGTTGGAGGTTCCTCAGAAGGGGGGGTGATAATTATGTACTTGTATCCAGTTTCCACTCACTACAACCCAACGGATCTCTCCAGAATGAACAGTGAAACACAGACCAAGGGGCACAAGTGGGAACTACGTTAAAAAGTGCATTTCAAACCAAGAACAGGAGGCACTTCTTCACACAAACGATTGTGGGAGTATGTCCTCCTGCTATTTGTAACAGTTATTATGTTCTTATGCAGTTGGATAGATCAGATATCTGTTTTTTTTTTCCTTCTGGTTTGAAAATGAGATCTTTCCTATGCTGCAGACTTACCCCTTTGAAACCTTTGAAGTGAAAGTGCAATTTCAGTGATGCTCCACCTGGAGAGTATTGTATTAATGCTGCGTTGGGTTCTTTGTAATTATGCATAATCTAACTGTGATGTTTTAGACATTGAAATGGGAGTAGCACAAGTGCACTAGAAAGTACAATATCCTCAGAAGAAACAATCTCTTAGGACTTCCAGCACTGAATTCCAGTACCTTTCTGATCAGAGAACAAAGCTGCTGCTGTAATCTGAGAAGGCAACCGTTGAATAATGAGGACCTGGGCAAAATACTTTAGCGGACTTGCAAATATGCTCACGTGTGTTAATGAGAAAGTCCTTCCTGTTCATGTTGACATCTGTATTGAACTGTATGTGGCTGTTATTTGTGTCTTCAATGGAGAAAATGGCATGCTGTGTAGTTAACTGATCATTCAGTTTAAAGAATAATGTTGAGAATACCTCATTTTAACATTCAGTGACATCTTAAAACCGTGAACACATTTGGTAATCACTGTAATCAAGTAAATTGATGAGCCTGTTTCCTTCACTAGAACTACAGCCTATCTCACAGTTTAGCAGGTCTCTCTTGTTGTTGGTTTAAAACTATATCTTGCTTCAGGCCGTTGGTCCACTCACATTATTCTTGACCTGATGTAGACTGAAAAACAAGATAAAAAAACTTTTTTGACTCATTTGTTTACATTTATCGGCTGTTTTTTGGTAAATCCCTTACCTACAGTACATCAAAAATATTTCTCGACAAACCAGTTCCAGTCAGTTGCCTTTAAAACCCTCTAAGTTAGCTTGCCCAACTGATTGATTCTGTGAGGTAGTCGCAAATATGTTTGTAGTAAAATGTATGCCATTTAATCCAGTGGAGTGAGTGTGTTGGTACAGATACTGTGGTATGCAGATATATCAAAATTTGTCTGACTAGGGGCCTGGGGCCGCTCTGTTAATGTTTGAGGCAGGCCTCATGGTAGTTCCTGTTAGGACCTGAATTTTCCTCAGTGAAGAAACTTTACCTTCGCACCAAAGGGAAGAGCTGCTGTTCTACCAGCCTAGGAATAATTGTGCTAAAATGCCTTTCTGAGGCGTAGTCCTTCCGAATTTACGCTGAATAGCGGGGGGAATGCAAAGAACTAGTAACCTTCATTTCTGCCAGTATTCCAGTAGCTCTTGGCCAGAGCTGCTGGCCGCTGGCCGCTGGCCTCGCCTACCTCCCCTTTTCACTGCGCTGTCTTCCGGCAGAAGTCCAGCTCTTCCACCGTGACGAGCGAGAAGATCACCAAGCTGTACGAGATGGGCAACGAGCCCGAGCGCAAGATGTGGGTGGACCGCTACCTGTCCTTCATGGAGGAACGGGGCACACCCGTGCCCAACCTGCCTGCCGTGGGCAAGAAGCCCCTGGACCTCTGCAGGCTCTACATGTCTGTCAAGGACATTGGGGGGCTCGCCCAGGTGAGCCCTGAAAATAATAGTACTTATATAGCGCCTTTCTGGACACTCCACTCAAAGCGCTTTACAGGTGATGGGGACTCCCCTCCACCACCACCAGTGTGCAGCCCCCACCTGGATGATGCGACGGCAACCATAGTGCACCAGTACTCTCACCACACACCAGCTCTCAGTGGGGAGGAGAGCAGAGGGATGAAGCCCGTTCTGCACGGGCCCTCAGTGACCCCCAGGTGGTGTCCTGATGTTCTGCTGACCCCTAGTCATGTGGGGGACCCAGTGCTGACCTGGCTTGGCCTTTGCCATTGACAGCACTTGAAGTGTACCAAGGGTAACGTCGTAAAATCAAGCTAACCGATCAGGCCATGTAGCACAAAAAAAAGCTCACTCGAGCAGCTCCCCCGGCTTTTAAAAATGGCATTTTATACTGCTTGTACCGAGGCACGTTGGCTGTTTCACATTGGAAAATCTGTACTTGACACATTTTACTATTGTGGGGAGTTGTGATGATAGTTAATAAACCCCAGAATTGCTGTCAATGCACCGTGGAACTACGTAGATGAGGTAGTAAGCAAAAGAGATAAACTAATGAATAAAACCAAAAGGTCTGTGCCTACCCCTGGCGTCCTGGCCAAATTTCCCATTGGCCCTTACCAATCATGGCCTCCTAATAATCCCCATCTCTGAACTGGCTTCGTCACTCTGCTCTCCTCCCCACTGAGAGCTGGTGTGTGGTGAGTGTACTGGTGCACTATGGCTGCTGTCGCATCATCCAGGTGGATGCTGCACACTGGTGGTGGTGAAGGGGAGTCCCCTTACCTGTAAAGTGTCCAGAAAAGCACAATATAAGTGTAAGCAATTATTAATATTATGACATCCTGCCTGTTTGAAAGTGCCTGTATGATCAGGATTGTGTGTGTGTTTTACCCATGGCAGGTGAATAAAAACAAGAAGTGGCGTGAGCTGTCCACCAATCTCAATGTTGGGACCTCCAGCAGCTCGGCCAGCTCCCTGAAGAAACAGTACATCCAGTATCTGTTTGCCTTTGAATGTAAAGTGGAGCGCGGAGAGGAGCCCCCTCCTGAAATCTTCGCCATGGGAGACAACAAGAAACAAGCCAAGATCCAGCCGCCATCTCCTGGTGCGTAGTGGTATTGCGCCTCTCCCACGGTGAAAAATGACGTTTCGGTTCCGAGTAGCACACCAGAGTCCCTGTTACAGACACAACTCGCAACACACAAACACTCTCTCCCTGGTCCTGCCGTCACTGTGACTCCTGACCTGCTCTGGAGTGTGCCTCATTAGTGGTTTGTGTTTGACGTGTGTTATTACAGATAAGAAAAAAATACCAAAGATGTGCTGATTCAGAACTTTGTGGCTTCAGTGTACCTACAGTATATAGCATTAACTCTCTACCAGTGTGTCAGAAGAAAGGGTTTAGCTCTAGCTACTGTGTAGTCCTCAGCTCATTTCTGTCTAGGATTCTGAGAATTTCTAACTTGGCACTTTAAATGTGTGCGATTAAGATGTCATTTGCTGTTTGATTTTTTTTGTTTTCTATTGTTTATTTGGGATTTTGGGATACGTGAAAAAAAAAAGGTTGCTGTACCATTGCCAGTGGAGTTCAGTTCTAATATGTGCTGCCTTGTTTTGCTTGCTTCTGGGTGTGTAAGCTTTATAAGTCTGAATAGGCCGCACGTGTAACATAATGATTTCTTAATAACCGTTAAGATTCTTGGTCTAGCAGAGTTTGACTTACAGAGGTACAGCACGGATATGGAGACTTTTTTCTATTGAAACAGACTTGCTATGACACTTAAAATAAATACAAAGATAGCAGACCTCATGAGAACATTCGTTTCGGCCCATTGAGCTCACCTGGTTGCTATTAGGTTTGAAAGAAAACAGGGCATCAACGTCGACTACATTGCTGTGGAGCTGTGAAGCCCAACCTTCAGCACGCAGCTGCGAGATTTACGTTTGGGCGGGAAAAGCACAGCGTTCCTGTGCAATGTTCTCTTTTGCTGATTTACCAGGAACATTACAAATATTTTGCCACTGTTCCGTACAAAGGGTCTGTTACGGGATTAAGCAGTGTACAGTTTCAGGAATTTCGTTCCACCGCCTTCTCTTTCCTGCGAGGTAAGACTGTGACATTGCCTGGGTGTTGCAGCTGGAACCCGTCAAGCTAAGTTGCTATTGTTGCGTCTCTGCTCCCAGAAAGGCGTGTAATCTCCCTGGTGATGGGGATTTTCACAACAGGCCCCGAGCCAGGGCTCCTGGCCCCATTAGTAGGCCCCAGCAGGCCCAAGTGTGCCGGGGGCCCCAGGTTGTAGACGCAGGAGGCAGAGCAGGAGCGCGTTGTGTGACGTGGCGGAGAGGCAGCTGGAAACAAGGGCACAGTATGGCTCCCGTGGCTGACGCAAAACCACCTCAAAGACTGGTGGCGTCTAGAACGTTTGACGCGACATTCATCAGAAGCAAGGAAATGCGTTTAATCGCCGATGAAGCGGACGTGCGCCTTGTTTATTTCTGACCGTGACATATATAGGACCCCCCCCCACAGCTCCACTGCCGTCAAATTGTGTAGGAAAAACTCGTTGTTTCTCAGGAGATGTGATGTGCCCCATCGTACACAATGCCCCATAAATAGAAAATCAAATTTCCACAGACTAAGAAGACAAAACCACGCCTCTGTAGAAGCACTCATTTGATTAACCCAAGCCCTCGCAAAAGGTATGACAAGCTAGCAGCAGGAGTGCGTAATGTCGACAGTAATCTGAATGGAGCAGGAGCACAGCTGCCAGAGGAAGACTCGGAGCGGAACCGGGAATGTTTTGCACTGCGGAACCACGGAACCCAGTGAATTCTGGCCGTGCTTTGTGATCGGGCCGTTTGTGAACGTGTTTTGTAGGAGTGAAGGTGTTAAGGTCTTAAGAAGGAGCTCCGGACGTGTTACTGAAAGGTTAAGGCTCAAATCCCGAGTGAGAGGCAGCTTGTAAAAGAAAGGTACTTCATCCAGATCTCTGGATACCATTGTCAGTTTCTTTGGATAAAACCATCAGCCAGAATTATTCACATTATGGTGCATAAATTGTGTATACACGATAATAACGGTAAGAACATGACATCCATTTCCTGGATCTTTTCGTCCCAAAGTGTCTTTTAGATGTGTACAACATTATGCACAACAATGTTGGAATTCTGGAATTAAATTCTGCAAATTAAATTTTTGGCTCCCTTTTGTTGAGTGTTGGATTTTGAGTCCAGACTGCAAGCCGTGACATAGAATTCGATTACCTTCGATTTTCATACAGAACCAATTATCTTCAGCACTGAAATGTTGTTAGTTTGTTCCTTTTCGACGTGATCCCCTACAATCGTGGAAGCAGTTCCTGTACGTATGGTTGTACCTTCAGTTCAACAGTGTCCCTTCGCAGTTTGCTCTGAGCCTGCTAGTTTTTCTAAGGCATTTCAAGATTATTTTAAGAAAGCAAGAAAAGCTCTACAAGAAATGGACGAAAGGGTATTTATGTGAAACCATGTTAACTCCAGGAGCTGCTGCAGGTTCCTGTTGATCGGAAACACCGTGCTGGTGGTACAGAGGGCATGCAGCCACGCCATGGACCAGGTCTGATGCTGGAGACACGATCAGTGTTTGCTGTTCCACCCAGCTGGCGTGGTTTGTTTCTTTTCAAAGGGCTTGAAGGAGCTGCCCACCTGCTTTGCCTGCGCAAGTGTTCCGTTGTGAAGTGGGAGAGGAAAAATACCCCTTTCATTTTTTTCTGAGAGCTGCCCTGACGGCAAAGGCCGGGGGGGGAGGCCGCGCGCGGTCAGCAGGCCCCCCGCCTCGTGCGAGACGCGCGCTCAAATGATGAGCAGGGGAAGCGAGGCGGTATCCTCACAGCGCAGGCCTGTCTGCCTAATCAGCCTGTCTGTATCCCACAACCCATCCATCTCCACTCGCAGGTGGCTGCCTGGAGGGCTATTTATAGCTGACAGGTGATGATGTCACAGAGAGCTGTCATGTAGCCAGGAGGGGGAATCCCCAGAGGAAGATTAATGGGGGAGGAGTCTGGGATATAAACACAAGTGACCTCCATTCGACCTCCATTCACAGCGGACCAGCGCGGCAGCTTTTTTTTTTTTAAAATGTAGAGTTGAGGGCACTTGAGTTCACGCTGTGTAAATGTTCTTCCCGCGGTGGCGTCTGACTGTGTGTGTAGTTTGAAGTATGTGAATGCACTTAACCTCCAGTAACCTTTTTATTGTTTACTTTCGAGTTGACACGTGTAGCTCCTGGCAGTGGAGTTGGGGATATCCTTGAAAGAGAATCCCGAGCCTGTTATGAGACTGACTTCAATCGGCTCTGGCTCTCTAACAGAAGGGCCATTTTAAATCATTTAAACTCAGTATAAATATTAGTATGCGATATTTACATATTTTAATCTAGGGTGTAACTACACAGCCCAGGGAGGTTTAGGAAATGACGTGAACTGGCGAGGTAGTGTTTAATATCGCTCATTGTTCCCATCCAGGCTGGTGAACTAACACAGATATTATTGCACTCGTTATTCTACCTGTCTGTTCTCTTCACATTAAGCCTTTGGGCAGCAGGGTTGTCACCTTGTAGGCTGATCTCATCCGGGAGACCTCTGAGCTCCAGGACTGGAGGTGACAGCTTCAGGGAAAGTCCCATCTTTGGGTGAAATGTTAAAACAAAATTGTTCCGTTCAGCGATTTGCTCGGCAAAGATCCCGTTGCACTGTAGGGGTGTTAAACTTAGTGGCCTGGATAAATTCCTCTCCTGGCTGATCCATTGTGGCCTTCCCGGAGTGCCCCCTTTAACCTTCAACAAGTGAAGCAATTGGTCACTTCTCCAGCTCGTCCGCTGTGCACTGGGGCAGCTGTGTGTCACCCAGGTGGGTGCTTATGAAAAACAGCTGGATGAATGCAAGTTTGTATTATTAATAATGTGCTTTGGCCAAGCAGCTCAAATCCTTTCCAGTTACTAGACGAGAAATATTTTACTCTGTTTTCATTCATAGAACATAAAAGGCTTTTTGGATTTTTATTGTATTGTAATTATGGGTTTTTAAATAACGCTACGGCCATGGCATTTGTTATGCTTCCAAATAGAATTAATATGGCTGTGCTAAATGTACTGTGTAGTGTACATACAGTAGGCTCCAAGATGTGCCAACAATAATACAATATATGTATAGGCCAAAACACAGTGTTGAAACCTCTTGCAACAATGGCTCCCTTTTAAATTCTTGCTGACTGTTGCAAGAATCTCATTCAGCTGTTTCTTGAAAGCAGCTAGGGTGTCAGCTTCAACCACATGGCTCCAAAGTTTGTTCCATGCTATGATTCACAGAAGCACATTTCTTTAAACTCCGCTTTCAGTGAGCCATACAGTCAGTATCGGATACTGTGGAATGTGATTAGGCTCTGCTTTGTTTTGCCGGTCTTTAAGGTGTTGTGCAAAAACCTTTGCAAAATCCATTTCTGGATTATTTCCAACAGCAGTTTGTGCTTTTCATGCAGCGTGTCTGTAGTCAGTGTAAGGAGGTACACTAGTTTAGCAAATGATTCCTATGCGTATTTTTTCTAGACCTGGAAGTGCCCTCCAGCTTAGTTTCTTAAATGAGCTCTCTTAAGGAAGTTTAGAGAATGAAATTAAAAAACAAGCTTCAATAGCTGCTGAAACGTCTCTGGTGGCTGTTGAAAGTTTCATGATTCCATTATGTTGCTCCCCCAGTGCTTGTTCTTTCTAAGTATTCGGAGGTTTCACGCCTTAGGCTCTCTGCCTTCTACAATTATGGGCTCCATTATTCAGAAATGTTAAGAAAAACAGGCTCTCCTTCATATTCTTAGATGTTTTTTAAGGTTTATGATTTCAGATGAGGAAATCTGGGGACCACCGGGGTCCTTGAATTTTTGCAACATGTCTCCAAATTGTCCTCCCGCGCCTGGAAGACCCAGATCTCTCCTCAGAGCCGCTGCCTTGTCTTTCTCACAGACACTCTCTCCAAGGTGCAGACGTGGTCTGTCGAGGTGACGTTTGTCTGGAAATGAGTTGGTTTCAGAAGCAGCAGTCCCCAGAGTGCTGAAGGGGGAAGGAATACTCCGGGAGTTTGTTGTGTAGTGCGGAACGAGCTGGCCAGCCATGTTGTCGAAGCCGATACCCTGGGTTCTTTTCAAAATTGTCTAGAAGCGATCCTTGGGTCAATTAAATACTAAATTCCAAAATGGCTAAAGGGACCGAGAGCCTTGTGTTCATGAAGATTGATATTAGCGGCACTGTTCTGCTTTGGCCTGGCTTCGGCGCCAGGCAGGACCTCGGAAGATCCCCTGCGTTTCAGCTCCCGTCAAGCCCTGCGTCTCTCTTCCCTCCTAGCCAACTCGGGGTCTCTGCAAGGCCCCCAGACCCCCCAGTCGAGCAGCAGCAGCTCCGTGGCGGAGATGCCGGGGGATCTGAAGCCCCCCACACCGGCCTCCACGCCTCACGCGCCCATGACGTCCCTGCAGGGCGGCAGGTAACTCGTCCGGCTGCGGTCCACCCTCTGCTGACCATGGTGGACAAGTGAAACTGTAACCATGCTTGCAGCAGCGCACGCCCGGGACAATACCCAACCCCAAGCTTTCACCTCTGGGGAGAGGATAGTCGGATAGCTGTTCTACAGCAGTGAGATGGCCATGTTTTCTAAATTTGCTCCCGTCATCTTTTATTGGCACGGACATGTGACGTGAGTGTATCCCAGTTTAGGCACATTGATAGTTGTTCAACAGCAAGAGCATTTAAGTCCAAAGGTACTTAACATTGTAACCCTTTCTGGAGTTTAATATGGATTGGCTAGGCTGTTCCAAACCTCAGTAGCTTTTTCTCCCCCCATTTGGAACAGAAAACCAGGTGAGGGAAAACAGACAAATAGCCACAACTGCAGCAGCGGCTTGGTTGTTCTGTATTCCTCGTTTAGAAATGGAAAACAGTCGTCTTTGCGCAAAGCATTTATTTGATACCTGATGTGCTGCATTGGTGGTCTTGTGGCCTGTTCCTAAAACTGCCATCTTGGCTGTGTGCCGGGAGAGACTGTCACACCCGACGGCCGCGTTGAGGCAGGACTTAGAAAGCTCAAGGGGTGAAAGTGGAGAGAGAAAGAAAACCCTCCCCGGATGCTTCCTCTGTTTCGAGCGCATCCCAGAAATATTTTTTGGTCGCCGTTTGATACCATTGTTTCGTTCTGACAACATTCAGTTCTTTGTGTGAAAAAACAAAATTAGCTGTCTGCAGCGCCAGAAAGAGACATTTGTCCGAACAGCTCAGCGGCGTAGAGGACCCGAATCTTTCAAATGCAGGGCGGAGATGAAGAGAAGGGGGAGAAGGTGCCGGACGGTCCAGTTTCTCCTTTGAGTGGCCGAGGCCGTCCCGAGACTCGGGACTGAGGCCTGACGGCGGGCCTTGCCTTTGTGTTTGCCTAGGAACAGCGGAGTGAGCGTGCAAGACCTCTTCTCGGACATCGGCGACCCTGCCTTCCAGAAGCAGAACTCCATGGCGCCCGGCGCCCCGTTCCAGCAGGGCATGAACATGCCGGAGGTGATGATGAGGATGCAGTTTGAGGCCAACAAGGACCCTTTCGGCGGCATGAGGAAAGGCAAGTCTCTCTGGCTCGTGGGGCAGCTGGTGCTGACTGTAAAGGGCTTGAGCCTTAGCCTGCTCCGCAGATGCTGTAAGACGTTCAGACCTGCCAGTCCTCAGTTATAAACTCATGAGATGAGCATTGCTTTTAGGCATTTAGAACCAAGAACAGACAGCGCATCATCTTATTACTGAAAACCACACAGTGGGCCTCTTTATTTATGGTGAGGTTTTAGTATGGTTGATCTGCTTTTGATGTCATTAATAAAATACAATTTTAACATCAGACTCTTATTGGAGTGCCTGGCTTTCTCTCATTCTGAACAGATGATTCTGACGGAGAGAAACTGTGGTTTTCTGTGGGTTTTCCAAAGTTAGGGAAGAGAAGGAACAATTTGTCCGGAGAAATAATGAGTCACAGTAACCAAAGAGCCATGTGAGTCGAGGAGGCATCTGAGTAGGGAGCCTGCTAGTGATCGAGATGATGCTGCCATCTGGTGGAGGCAGCAGTTTTGGGCTATAATATTTTGCGGTAATTTGTCTACAATTGCGTTGTGCTTCCTGGCCCGTACAACTACTGCACGAGCCCATACGACATACATGAAGTAATGACAGTTTTATTTTTTATTGGAGACCCAATGGGGTGGAGGTGGGAAGGGGGAGGTATTTACTGTATTCCCATTGTTTTAGAAATGAATGTTTTTAAAACACATCTGTGCCTGTAAAAAGCTGTAGAAAAGAAACACTGAACAAAAAATACATTCTTGGGAGGTAAAACTGTTTCTAACTGTAATAAGAGGTACCCTGAGCCTAAGGTAAAAGGCCGTGACATACTGTAGTCTCTCTTACAGTCGTTCCTGTGGAGTAAAGGGGCACGCACTGTCTCCTCTGGTTGAAGATCTCAGTACAATTACTAACCTAACAAGAACTAATCATATATTTTAGGGCTATACAATTACTCTTCAGCCTGGATGAGGAAATGTGGCTTCCAGAAGAAGAGTGGGACAGAGATGCCAATATCGGTCTAGGCCAATATAATCTCTCTGTTATGCAATTGAAAGTTCCATCTGACCCATTATAAAATACTGAGTAGTGTCCACCACACGGGGAAGACGCCACAAGGCTCCCGGAGAGTGGCACTGTTTCTCCGACAGTGTGCGTAATGTGAGCCCCGCGGCTGTGTCGTGTGTTCTGCCATTGCCTGCCCATCCAGGTGTGGAGGGAAGTGTGAGCCACTCCACCTGACGTGTGGACATCACGACCCAGCGAGACACTGCGCTCTGATTGTCCATGCTTCAGAAGGCGGCAGCTGGCTGTCACACCTCCTGTTCTGACAGCTCGGTACCTCTGCGCTTTAGGACATCTGGGCAGCACAGTGGTCAGGGTTCTGGACCCGTAACCGGAGGGTTGCGGGTCCGAATCTCAGGCGAGACACTGCTGTTGAACCCTTGCACGCTGCGTTGCTCCACTGAAATACCCAGCTGTACACATCTGGGCAAGTGCAAGCCTCTTTGCACAAAGGCATTAGAAAATACAAATGAGTAAATCTAGGGGTGTGACATTCCCTCCACAGACATCTGCTTATTGGTTGTCTCCCACCATTGCGACCACCAGTGCTCTTCTGCGTAAAGTTCTGTGACTCTGCTGGAAAATCAGATCCGGCCTGTCACTCAACGTGTGTCATGGGAGAGACTCACTGTGATCCTACAGTATAAATCAGTTCCTAGCATCTGGACTTGTTCCAAGAAGAGAATACAGACAGATCACTGTAACCCCTTAAAATAATCCACATCCACACACTCTTGTCTTGTCTGACGTGTATCGTCATTGTTGAAAATTGTTTGGGTCCTTATTCATTTGTGTAATTTTATTACTGCTAATCCTACAAGTTATGTATTTAGTTCTTTGCTTTCGCTTGGTTTGTATGTGTACTGTATGTAGGCAGATGTGTTTATCCATATGTGCATATTTCATTATTAAATAGTGTGTAACACTTTATTTATTTGAATGTTGCTGCATAATGGCTTCATGATCTCCTCACAGATGATACACACAACGTTACAAGCACATGTATATAATGCTTTACGGAGACGTGTGCCAATAACATAAAGTGTGCATAAGTGGCATGACATTTATTTCACCATCGTTTCTAGAAATTGGTACTATGCATCGTATCAAGCACTAGAACTGCATTATGCATGTGATAATAATGTGGTGTCTCGCAGTTAGGAAGAGATTATGAAGCCATTTTGCAGCAACATTCAAATAAAGTGCTATCTGATATTCTTATCACAAAAGCATTTGTTTTTGTTAGTTCATATCAGTTTTAGAAAATGGCATCAAGCTCTTTAAATGTGGTCCCTGCAGACCGTGAGAGTGGCCCTTGAATCTTGTGACAGTGGATGGCGACGCGTGAAGGGGAGCGAAGGGGTGGGGCTCTGGGAAAGGCAGGGTAAAGGCAGTGGGGGTGTAATATTTATTCATCTCTCACGGGTGGTGTGACCGTGTGTGGGGGCTTCCTCATGGGCCCTGGGTTTGATTCTGGACAGGGATGCCTTCGGTGTGGAGTCTGCATGTTCTCTAGAGGTCTGCGTAGGTTTTCTCCAGGTGCTCTGCTTTCCTCCCACCTCCCACAGATACAGTAGTTGTCCTTGTGCGCCTTTGTGCATTTAGATGTGTGTGTCCTTAGACGGATTGTAGTCCCGTGCTGGATGTAGCCCCATCTTGCATTCTGTGCTTCCTATTGGCTCCAGGACGCTACAGAACATCCTCTCTGGGAATGAGCAGCTTCCTGATAAGCTCTTCCATCCGTCCGTCTACTTTATCCAATACAGAGTTGGAGGGGAGCCACGCCGTGGGCAATTTGTACCTTGTTCTGCCTATAGTTTATATGTGGGTGTTTAAAACTGTGTTGTCACTGGTTAGAGATTCTCTTCACCAGGTTTTTTAGAAGAGTTCAAACACTGATCTTTGTAGATCGGCCCCGTGGAAATAAGACTCTCATGGTATGTTAGTTTGATGGCCAGGTCTATCTCAGTTTTTAAGCACTAGGTTTAGCAGATATTGGTGCTAACACAATAATAAAAGGTGTGAATCCCGTATTAAATCCATACCTTTGCCATTGAAGAAAAACTAAGATGACAAGACGTGTTTAGCTGCAGGCATTGGCTTAAATGGACTCAATCCGGATTTCTGTGCATACGTAAGGAAATGAAGGTGTCATGGTGGCGCAGGGGTTAGCAATGCGGCCTCGCAGCACTGGGGGCCTGGTTCAGTTCCAGACCTGGGGTGTTGTCTGTGTGGAGTTTGTATGTTGTCCCCCAGGTGCTCTGGTCTCCTCCCACAGTCCAAAGATATACTGGTAGGTGAATTGGCTTCTGGAGAAATTGGCCCCGGTGTATGTTTTTGTCTGTGTGTGCCCTGAGATGAACTGCCTTCCCATCCAGCACCCGTTTGTGCCTGCCTTGTGCCCTTTGCTTGCTGGGCTCCGGGATCAAGACAGGGTCCCGGGACCCCGAGTTGGGTGCAGTGTCTAGAGGATGGAAGGACATAAAGAAATGACCAATGTTAAGCTCCGTCTTGGAGGACACTGCGTGTGTGTTTGACCAAAGCCTGTGGTATTTCTTCCCAGTGCCAGGAAGCAGTGAACCCTTTATGCCCGGACAGCTGCCCAACAGTGGCATGCCAGACATGTACAGCCGCACCCCCTCAGGCTCCATGTCCGGACTGGGGATGAGCCATCGCCAGCAGTATCCCTACGGCCCCGGGTACGAGAGGAGGTGAGCTCTAGTGCTGTTGCGTTTCATCTTGAGCGGAGGAGACTGCGAGGGAGCCTTTCGCAAGTATTCAAAATGCTCAAAGGCACCGACAGAGTCAACCTAGAGGACTTCTTCAGAGTGACGTATGAACCAAAATCCAGAGGACACGAGTGGGAACTACACAGAAGTATTTTTAAAACAGGGAACAGGAGACAGTTCTTTACCCAAAGGGTTGTGGGAGTGTGGAACAAGTTACCCAGCCATGTTGAGGAATACTGATACTTGGGCTTCATCCAAGAAAAGGCTGGATGAGATGATTGGATCAATTCACCCCAAAATACACACAGGTTAAATGGGCTGATTTGTCTCCTGATTTGTACCATCTTTTCTGTTCTTCTGTTCTCATTACTAGCAAATGAAAAAAAAACCCGGTTCTGTTCAAAGTTGGCAGATGAGAAGGGGAGGTGTAAACATTTTCTTTTTTTCCTGAGGTGTATTTGACATTTCATGACCATTAGGGCTTGTCCTCTAAGACGCGCACAAATGGTCAATTAGACAAAAAGAGGAGAGATCTCTGTGAAAAGGCATGAATACGCCTGTCCAGAAAATTAAAGGCACTTAAAGACAGTATGTGCGATTTAGTATTGTTGGACAGGGTACTCTGTAGCCGTAAAGAAAAACAAAGTAGCTGCTTCAGTAATGATGAAGTATTATATCTGTGCGTTTGTGGAGTGTTTAATGCAGTTTCTTCTTTGTATGTTTTGTTCCTCTCAGACCTGAGCATGGGATTGGTCCTGAGGGCAGTATGGGACCTCCTGGGAATCAGAGTAACATGGTGCCGTCTAACAACGATCCCAGCATGTACTCGCCCAACCGATATCCTTCACAGCAAAGGTTAGGCACCCAGGCTGGCATGTTGCCATGTTGGTTCGTCAGTGGTGATGCCGAGTGTCAGTGTTTTATAACAGCACCCGAAACCTGTACAGTACCTGAAACAGACTTCACTACACTACCTCTTCCCCGAGAGTTGTGTTGGTGTTGAAAGCAGCGACGACTCCGCTGTTTAAGCGGAAGTAAAACACAGCTTCTGCTTGATGCCAAACGTTGATACGTCATCACTCATGGGGATGCCAGAGCCCCTAGCCTCTAAAGGGTTACTTTAGCCTTTCCTGAAGCAAAGGAGCCGTACTCTGGCGGCAGGAAAAAAACCCTGATTTCCAGATATAAGACGTGCAGTCCTGAAGAGATGCACTCCGTCTGAAGCTTCTTCATCCAGCACAGAGCAGAAAAGAAGAAAAGTAGTCGTCTTTATATACGGCAAATGTGTTATCGTTTGTTCAGCGGCCGCTGGAGATTGAGTGGCCTGTAATGGCGGGCGTGAGTGATGTGTGTGTTTGTGCTGGGCTCGGCCGAGCCGCGCTCCTGCCCCCTGGGGGCTGGCCGGTGCTGAGGGTCTGTGCTGTCTGTGCTTCTCCACAGGCACGAGCCCTACGGGCAGCAGTACCCCGGGCAGGGCCCTCCTGCGGCGCAGATGCCCTACGGCGCGCACCAGCCGGGGATGTTCCCTCAGCAGCAGGTGAAGGGGGCGCCCTCCTTGTTTTTCTTCCGCCCGTCGGGCCCAGGTTGTCGGGAGAGATGTTTCCGCTGCCCCTCAGAAGACGGGAGTCAGGAGCCCGTCTCAGAAGCTTAAAAGACGGATTTATTTCATGCGCATGGGAGCGACACACACAGAGACGCTCGGTGTATTTTTCCCCCAAGCGATTAAACCTAGAACGGTCCCTAAATATTTGTCTGTTATCCATCATGCTTCCCTGTGCTTTCCAGGATCGTCTTCCTCTTCCCTGTCAAAGTCCACTTCTTTTATTCCCAATTGAATAGCACACTGTCCTGTGTAACACAGTATAGAATTACACGGTAGCCCTTGTGTCCAGCATTCTCCCATTCCAGTACAGTTCAGTTCTGTATGTCCCCCTTATAAAACACTGCATCTTCAGCACATAAGTTCACAAAGACCCTCTCCACCAGGCGTTACACGTATTCGCGGTCGGAAACACTCCCACTGGCTCCCGGTTTTCATTGAGGGCCCGAACCAGGAAATTTCCTACAGAGGTACAGGTACAAACCTGAAATCCCCGTGGCCTGCCCTCACTGTGGCTCCTCTTTCCCCCAGGCTTACAAGCGTCCCATGGATGGCATGTACGGCCCTGCAGCCAAGCGCCACGAAGGTGACGTCTACAACGTGCCGTATGGCGGCCAGCAGCAGGACGTGTACGGGCAGTACGGCAGCGGCTACTCGGGGCCCGAGCGGCGGCCCCTGCAGAGCCAGTACCCCTACCCCTACAGCCGCGACCGGATGCAGACTTCGGGGCACACGCCCCCCCAGCCCGCCCAGCAGCATGGCATTTCCTCCCAGATGCTGAGCGGCCCCCTCCAGCAGTCTTCCTCCTCCGGCCCGGCTGAAGGGCCCCAGCCCAACGTGTGGCCCTCGCGGACTGACCTGCCCTACCCCTACCCCGGCAGGCAAGCCCCGGGGGGCTCCTCTCAGGTCCCTCCCTACCCCGCCCTGGGCAGGGGGGACGACCTCATGGCCCCCGAGCCGAGGCTGAACCCTGACGGCCAGTGGCCGGGCCACGTCGGCCAGCGGCAGTCCTCCTTCCTGCCCCCCTCCTCCAGCTCGCTGCCCCCCATGACCACCCGGCCGCCCCCGTCCTCCTACCAGACGTCCCCCGCCATGCACAACCACATGCCCCGGGCCCCCAGTCCGGGGGCCTTCCAGCGCTCCATGGAGGCCCGCATGTCCCCCAACAAGACGCCCTTTCTGCCTGCCATGAAGAAAGTGGGACCACCCCTCCCAGCCACGCAGGTCAGCGGACCCCCCAGTCAGCCCCCTCCGATAGTACGCCGAGAAATCGCCTTCCCCCCGGGAACAGTGGAAGCCACGCAGCCCGTTCTGAAGCCCAGACGCAAGATTACCTCAAAGGACAATGGTAAGTGCCGCTTGGGAGCGCCGAACCGCTCGGGGTGAAGTGAGTGAACACAGCGGAGCCGTCACCTGTGCTCAGGGGTGCTCTCCAGGTGTATAGAGACCTACTCGTTGCTGATTCAAATCCGGTTCAAGAGAGGGGACGTCTTCTTCCCGACTGTCAAGTTGTGAAAAGTTTATCATCCCCAAGGGGCTATTTGTCTGACGACAGCAGGCCGTGGAAAGACAAACCACAGGCAGCAGTACACGATGTTCACACACTGTGCACAATGGGAAATCTGTACCTGCGCTCTGAGGGGAGTGACTGGACCCTGTGAAGGGTTTTCTGGGATTGAACATGCTTTACGCAAGCCGTCGTATAACCCGTCGTCGCGGATTAGAGCCAAATGATCAGATCCCATGACTTCCTGAGAGAGTCTAAACAAACCCAGGTCGTTCTTAATCCACAGGTTTAGATTCCCACGCCAGCAGAAGTTAAAGCAGATTCAGTCACAGACTGATCAGATATGATCACCAATGAATGATCAACCTTAAAATGTTTAAGCTCCCTTAAGAAAAATAAACGCTGTGGCACTTTTCTAAAAATAGAACCAACATTTGCCTCAAAATTTTAACTTGAAGTCCAGAACAGTTCGCAAATACTTATATTTATCTAATGTCTCCAAATGTCCATGTTTAGGAAGCAAGTGATACAACAATAATCCAATATATAAAATGCATTTATTATCAGCTCTGTACCAGGAATTAGGTATTACCGAAAGCTAAAAATTGTCTGTTTTTGATGACTTGTGGTATTCCCAAATATTCTGTGCAACTTTGTTGTCTGATAAATTTCATTATTTTTAAAACTTGGTCCTGTAGTCCTGGAAAAAGAAGACTTCTGGATATGTATATTTATATTTCTGGTCCTGACAAACCTGAGCTCTCGATAGGAATCTATGTGGAAGAGCATCGAAGAGCACAGGTGGTCATCTTCACCCAAAAGGCTGTGGGGGTACAGAATAGGATATGACACAATGATCTTGAAGCCCGTATCCTGACTTCTTTCAGGAAACTGGATGAGATCCTACGATTCTTTAGCTATTAACTGTTAAACAGGCTCTTCTTTTCCTTCACTGGTAATCGTGCATCAGTTGCTGATCCAGAGGTCTTGTTGTGTTGAATACACAGAGCTAGTTCTGCTTGCTACTCCACAGCGACTCAAGAAGGACAGCCAC